TGCTGGCACCCAGCTCTCCCTGCCACACGGAGAAAGTGTTTCTGTGGCAGGAAAGAGAATGGGACCAAGGTACAAAGAGAAGCAGAGCCCCGAGAGATGGAGTGAGAGAGACATTTGTTTTTGAGCTCTTGAATTCAGCCCTGCCTGAAGTCAGTAATACCACTGTCCTTCTCAGTGCCCTTCTTGCTTAAGCTGGTTTGTGTTGGTTCCTATCACTTGTAATTAAACCAGTCCTAATAAAAAAATGGAATTGAGTGTGCAAACAACAGACTCTAGAATGTGGAACTGGCAGAGCTGAAATGAAATGGAGGCAGTGGAGAGCTGATGATCCTTGGCTGGGAAGTTGGAAATCCCTGTTATGTGATGTGAAATCAGGTGGTTAAATTATCTTCTATTTTATCTTGAGATTTGGGTCATGCATCCATCATAGATGGAGATTTCAGGGACACACTGGAAAAATGTCTGGATGTTGGGGTATTCTGGCCTCTTCTCAAGATTTTCAATAAGGTCCTGCGGTTCAGCTTTCTTCCACGCTGGCAGAACCAGAACCATATACAGCTTTGTTTAGAGTTGCCTTTTCTGCCTGTGGCCAGTAAGCCAGACTGCCAAGGGTCAGATAATCATGCATCTTATAGATTATAAAAGCCGGATCATCTTCCCCAAGCTAATGTGAGAACAAAGGCATAGAAGTAGAAAATCCAACAGGAGATACTGGAGTTTAGGCCTGGGAAGTTCCAGACAAAAAGCCTGTTCCTCCAAGCCAGACCTGAATGCTTCTTTTTTCTCTCAAATTAAGTAATGTTTATTTCACTTAGAATTCAGACAGTGCTGGGGGTTCTGGTGCCTGGGGACCTGGGCTGTGAACCCTGGGAGGGACTATCATAAACTTCATGCACCTTCTTGGACTCCCTAGGCCACCTCCTTCTTTCTCTCTCTTGATTGGCACCCCACCTATGCCAAGTAGCCCCTCTACTTCCACATCATGGTAGAAATGCCACATGGCAGGCCATGGGATCTGAGTTCCCAAGCAGCCACCAAGGGGGCAAATGATACAACTCAGAAGTGTAATGGTGTTAGCTCTCTGTAGGGTGCACCTTGGCCAGTGGAAAACATGAGATGAGAGGGGAACAGATGGATAAATTCCCTCTCAATTCTCCTCTTGGTGAACTGCTCCAAGGTGCTGTTTCTCCTTGGAAACACCATGTGCTTAGCAAACAACACTGTCAGGTGACCTGCTCTCTCCTCATGGCTCATGTGAAGTGGTGGCCAACACAATAATGCATCGTCTTACATGCCTTCACATCTTCCCTTGCCTCACGTCTCTTCTCTCCTCTCACCATCCTGGGCTTCTATCTCCCAAAACAGTGTGAGCACTCTAATCCTTGCCTTAGCGTCGGCTTTCTAGGGTACTTGGGTTAAGACATGGAACCACAATCAAAGCCCCCATCCCAACATTGAGTCCTAAGAGTGGGGTAGCAGGAAGGTCCTGAGGACAGAACTGATTTTTCCTGCTCAAATGCAAGGAATCTAGCCCAGACTGCTGGCTTCCTATAGGGGGTGCAGTGCCAAGGTCGCTGGGTCAGGCCATTTCTGGCCTACTGTGAATGAGAAGCTGAGGCTCATTCACAGACTCTGTGGTTGCTTGCATTTTCTCCTGGGCACCTAAGACTTCCCTTGGGAAAAGTCAGACCCAGGCTTGCAGCCTGCTCTGCCTTCTGGATCTCTGTGCTCTTAGGCAACCAGAGGGCAGGAGGCCAGACCCTGAAAGTTTAAAGTCCCCTCTACAGATAGCCAGTCAAAGGCTCTGACCATAATCAGCCCAGGCTGCTAGAGGGTGGAAAACACTGTGATAGGAATGTCTGAAGCCAGGGCTGGGGAGAAAAAGAGTGACTCTCTGCCCTTGATGAGTTTGCGCTTGGCACAGACTTGGTTGCCTCTTTGTGGACCCCATATGGCTCAGGCTGGAAGGGCAGCTGCTTGGCCTGCATTGGCTCTGAGCTCCCTGAGCCCATGAGGTTTATTCCTTCATTGGCACTCCCAAAGAACAGAGGGCTGTGTAACATAATTGTGCAAATATACTGGCCATGAGGGGAGGCCCAGGGGCCAAAAATAGCCTCTGAGGCCCTGCTGGGTTTGGCTGTGTCATGATGCAGGGAGGTGCAGTCAGGACAGTAGATGTTCAAAGATTACAACCAAAGCTGGAAAAAGATCAGGAGAGATGCCGTGATCTCCATGTCCTTAGCACCCTCTTTTGGAGGGTACTGCATGCATGTTCTGTTCCACTGAGGCAGAGGCGAGACTCCAGGTCTGGTCAGAGCACGCAGCAGCGCAGCAGATCCAGAGCTGCTTCCAAGGTCAGAGGTCATTAGTCTTATTTCAGACCAAAGATCTTTTCTCCCTGCATCCAAGACACCCAGGTTGCATCCAGAGACAGAAAGAGATTCCAGGGGCCCTACTGAAGGCTTAAGACTCTGCCCACAGTCCCCAAATTATACAAATTCTCAGAGGGCCCCCCAATTCAGTGTCCACTGACAGACTCCCCTCAGGAGTACTTTGGTGATGTGGCCTCAGTGTAATGATCGACCATGGCCAGAGGGCGAGAAGTGGAGCAAGATGCAGGCTGGCCAGAATGAGTGCTTGGCTGATTGCCTCCCTCTTTTCCCAAGCATCTCCTTGGGGCTGAAGCCTAGGAGCCAGTATCACTCAGGGATTTTGACTATCTGGTTAGGACCACCGAGCATGAGCCAGCCAAGTGTTGAATACGTACTCGCTCTCTGGGGGCACTGAGCAGATCAAGGTTGACTTATCACCATAGACAGGCCATTATGGGGAGGGGGAGGGGAATGGACAAAGTGTGACCTGTTGTTAAGAGACAGAAACCACAAGGGCCAGATCCAGAGTCAAGAACAAGGACTCAGCAAGATTCTTGATGATGGTTACTAGCTCACAGAGAGCCCAGGAATCAAATGAATCGGTTAAAAAAGGAATAGTATCACCAGAGAATCCTCACACCTGGCAAACAAGGATCTGGGAATGCGTAATCTATAAGGCAAGCTTTAGGCCCCAAACTATGTCCAAAGGGAAGAGGGATGCTTCGATACCAGAACGGGCATCCTCTCAGGGATGTCCATAAAGGACAACAGATAACGGAGATATTTCCCAGTGGAAAGGACCAAGGACCAGTTTTGTTGATGAAGAAACTCACACCACTGTCCAGAAGGATGTGCTATATGCTATAGATTAGCAACCATTGTTTTCTCTTCTCCCCTATTCCAAATGGAAGGTGTTTTTTTTCTTTTTTAAAAATGGTTATTCTATTTCCCTCCACTATTTCATATTGGTTATATAAGGGTAGCTAAATTTATCTTTTAGCCATAGATTGCAAAATCATAAGAAATTATATCCAGACCTGATCAAGAATTTCACATCACAAAGGGACCCTGGACTGAGGACTCAATAAAGCAACTGGACATGATTCTGTTTTGTCCTCCACTGGGAAGTCAGTGAGTGTGTTTTTTATTGGGCCTAGGATCATTGCATTGTTAGGCAGGCACATTTTTGAAATTGTATGTTTGTCAAAAAAAGTATAGGTGGATGCTGAGCAATCAGGGGGTGGAATGTAGTGGATGCATATTGTTTATCTGCCCATCATCCTTTCCGTTGGGGACCCATTTCTCCCCTCTACACAGTCCTGGTGATGTCAATTATGGTGGCCTACTCGTCCACCCTAGAGGTGGCACATGTCCATTCTGGCCAAAGTCCTCCCTAGGACTTTTGAGCTAGAACTAGTGAGGCCCAGATATAGAAAGGAAGCAGAGCTAAGAGATGGAGATATTATCATTTGAACCCCTAGATCCAGCCATGCCTGAAGGCAGATACATCCTTTGATTTATCAATTATGTAAGCCAATTAATTTCCTCTTGACTTAACCATGTTTAGGTTGGGATTTTGACACTTGCAACTGAAAGCATTCAGACTAATACATGCACACACAATAGAGACACAAACACCATGTTGTCAAACTCATTAGACATTATACGAGTCTTCCATGATCTTACAGGGGTCAGCAAACTTTTTGTCTAAAGGACCTGATAAATATTTTAGGCTTTGTGGGCCCCATATGGTCTCTGTCTCATATTCTTTTTTGTTTTGTTTTATTTTTACAATCCTTTAAAAACATAAAAACCATTCTTAATTTGTAGGCCATACAAAAAAAGGCCGCAGGCCGGATTTGTCCATAGGCCATAGTTTGCCAACCCCTAATCTAGACCCTGCCAGCCCCTACAGCATTAGCACACAGTCGGTCTGCCAGTGCCTAACCATGAAACAAAATACTTTAAACGCCATTTTGGTTCAAGTGTCTTGACATGAGTCAGTAATGAGTTAAGTTAGGGTAAAGTTAGGAATGGGAAAGGGTCTTGTCTTGCGCCCGTTGTCTACCACATAATAGGCACTGAATAAATGGTAATCATGATTATTTCTTGGTAATAAAGATAATTTATCAAAATGATGCAGCTGTCCAAATGGCTTTGTCCAAATGTCCCAGGACATCCTGGAAGACCCTTCCCCTCCTTAATTTCCTTCAGCAAATCTTTCTCTGACCTGCCCTACCAATCAAGTCGGAATTAGGTACTCTTCTTCTTGCTGTCACAGACCCTGTGTGGCCCTCCATTATAACTGCATTATCAGTCTGTCTTTCCCTCTAATTCTGAGTACTTAGAACATGCCTGAACCCCAGCTCCTAGCACAGTGCTTAGCGCCTAGTGCCGAGGGGCCTCTATGCCTCCATGTGAATATATGTTTGAATATGCAGGTGCTGCACATCTCCATCTGTGTCCAGGGTGGTCAGTCTATGTGTCAGCATTGTGCTGGTGAACAGATGCCCTCAGCGCTGGTTCCTCTCTCAGTTGGAAATTATTTGTACACCACACACCTGGTAATGTCATTATTGTATCTATTTTTCATTCCCATTCCCTCCAAAAACGAGTCAAAGACAGAGGAACAGGTGGGAACAAGTTTTCTTAGAAACTGTTGTGAAGGAGGAACCCTGCACCCCCACCCCCACATCCTTTACTGTCTGATGTGATATCAGATCAGAGGCTTCCAGCCTCAGAAACATCTGGGGACAGAGTGCCCACCGCATAGCTGGGGCCCCAGACTAGCCTGATCCACGTCTATGGGTGGAGGGGATATTATCCTCCTGGCAAAAATATATGCAAGGCCCTACAGGCCCAGGAAAGGCTGACCAAGGCAAGGTGAGTCATGGTGTTCTAAGCTGAATCTTTTGCCCATCTCACAGAAGCAGGCAGGAAGCACCACCATTGATCAGCTTTATATGGCACCCACTGTATACAATAGACAGACAAAGACAGACAGACAGAGCACACACCACTTCTAAGCTGAACACTGCTCACCATCTAGAAGCACCTTGGATAAGCACATGTGAGACACTCTTGCATAGGAAAGATGTACTTTTTAAAGGAATGAAGAAGTATTTTGGCAAAACATCTACTTCCCTCCCAGGTCCTGGGTAAAGAGGGACCTCTAAATTCTGAAGCTTCTACATATTGAAAATTATCCCCTTTTCAATGGCAGTATATACAGTAGCAAACCTTCCTCATCTGTTGTCACAGTCCTCTACATATATCCTGAATCTACTTTACAGGTGGGCAAACAGACTTAGAGACAGAAGGTGGCCTGGAGCAAGGGGACATTGGGGCTGGCTCGGAGAGGGGAAACAGGAGGTATCTCGGCTTGGCCAAAGCCAGGGCCTCTGTCTATCTGGATGGGGAAGGGAAAGGCCGGGGTGGCCAAAACTCCCTCTTTCTTCCTGCCTGGGGAAGCAGTGGTTCCACAGGAAAGGCTGTCAAGAAGGAAAGGCAGGTTCCCAGTCCTACTGGCTAGGGGGCCTCTCAGGGTGGCAAAGGCCAGGGCAGGCCAGAGCTCCTCCTGGGGCCTCTTCAGTGATGCTCTCTGAGTTTGGGGATTGTGGGTTCACTGCTTCATAACTCTTATTACCTGCATATAAGCCTAGACCTCAAGTCCTTAATTATTTTAAAAAGGCAGGGGGTGGGGGGATGGTTAAGAGGGAATGAGACACAGAACAATATTTCCACAGCCTCCCTCTGCCTATGCTGGGGCTTTCAAGGGTCTCCTTCACCCTGTCTCCTAGGGATATTTAAAGGCAGCTTTTATGAGACTCTATACTGTCTTTTTCATTTCTCTTGTGTTTTTTTTTTTGTTTTGTTTTTGTTTTAATTTATATAGATATATATATTCTTAAAAAAGCAATAGTCCTTTGGTCCCTAAACTCTAAGGAATGATATGATTTTCAAAGAAGTAAATCTGGGCCTCCCTTGTGGAGAAGCCCTTGGCACCCCCAAGGTCCTCTGCTGGTTCCCTAGACAGTCAATCCTCAGCCAGCCCCGGTTGTCTTGCCAGTCTGAGCTCTATGCCACAGGCACAGAACAATCCACTCGATGAAAACAATCCTTCAAGTGGCCTGAGCCCCAGGCGCCGGCCTTCAGTCCGATCCACCTCCATCTGTGGCTGCTCCTTCAGGAAGGGCTGCTCAAGCGTTTCTGTGCTTTTCCTTTCCTTTCTTCTCACTCCCCAGTTTCTGTTGTTGGGTATTAATTGGTAAAGAGAGAGGGGGGAAAGAAAAGGCAAAAATGACTCTGGAGGGCAAGACAAGAAGAGCAGCTTGCCCCGTCAGTGACATCTTAGGTGAATGGCTGGCCCTCTCCTCCTGAGGAGCAGAGCTGCAGCAGGGCCAAGACCACTGATGCCACACCCTGGGTCCTGGGCAGATGGCCCCAGCCTGGCACCCCCTCTAGAAGGCTCCCTGGGGTAGGTCAAGTGAGGCGGGCCATGTGGATCTTCTGAGACAGCAAATCTCTCAAAGTCATAGGCAGCTGGCCCCGCAGAAACCTGAGAGTTGTCGTCTCCTTCCCCATCACCAATCAGGGCCTGCAGATCCTGCTTCTTCAGTGTATTTGTTCTCTCCTCATCTCCATGTTCACTGCCATTGTCTCAGCCTCACATCTTGTCCCTTCTTTGCTTAAACTCCTCACTGGTTCCCTACCATCTTCAGGATAAAGTCCAAACTCATGGCCTTTAAGACCCTTCACAAGCTGGCCCACACCTGCTTTTCTAGTCTCCTTCTCCAAGCCCCCGCCCTCCCCACATATGAGTTCTCTACTCCTGTGGCCCCCGTAGCTATCTCTGGAGTAGAACTGGTTGGATCTTGCTGTAATTGTCTCTCCCAGACTGTGGGGGCAGGAGTGTTGTCTAATTTGTCTCAGTCCTTGGATTGAAGAAAAACACAAAGCCTCCAACTGGGGAATTCCTCTAACTCCTGGCTCTTCTCTCCCAGACTTTTTCAGAGGTGGGGGACCCCAACATCCCAAAAGGAACATCAAAGCTGAGAGGCCTCCATCACTCAGGCCGCATCTGCCCGGGGTCCACCAAAGACTCACCTTTCTGTGGCTGGTCAGTGAGAGTAGATTAGTAAGGCCGGTTGGCATCCTTGGGCCTCTTTAGCTGGACCTTGAGCCTCTTCATGCCAATTTGAAAGCCATTCATGGCCTGAATAGCTGTCTGGGCACTGGTTGGATTGTCAAAGCTAACAAACCCTAGGGGGTGTGGACAGAGAGGTTAGCTGAGAACTCTGCCTGGCAGGGCCTCCTTTCTCTCTGATCAGCCCCCTCTTCTCTCTGCCCCCTTGACCCAGTTCCATCAAACATATACCCTTCCACCTTCCATCATTTGCATGTGTGCATGCACACATGCACACCAGCTCATACTTACATGGGTAAGTGGCCTGAGTTTCCTAAACGAGTGATTCTTGGAAAGACAGGAAGCAATTCTGAGTGTGTGTGTTGCAGGGCGGGTAGTGTGTTGGCTAGGGTGTTTCCCTGTCTTTCCCTGACATAGGTTGACTCTCTCCCTCCACAGCTCCCATTCTGGTCCTCTGAACTGCAGTTGGAGTTGGAGGGGATCTCTGGCCCCAGACCCAGACTCCTCCTGCCCAGGCTAGACTCTAAAGCTTGACCTGGGGGCACATCTTCTAGACATTTGACTTTCCCAGGTGAACCTGAAATAGACTTGTTCATGGTCTAGGCTTAGCCCTGTCACTGGTCTGTGACCCTGCTTTATGCCATACGGTCGGTTTCTGGGAGTCATTGACTTATGGAGGGACAATCTTAGGGTCTGTAGGGAATCTCAAAGTTAGGAGTGGGAGAGGCCCAGGGGATGGGGCTCTGCTCACCAAAACACTTGCTCTGGTTGGTGGCTCGATCCACAAAGACTTTGGCAGAGACAACGGCTCCAAAGGGTAAGAATGTCTGTATGAGTTCTGCATCACCAAACTCCTGAGGCAGGTGATAGATGAAGAGGTTACAGCCTTCGGGGCCTGCAGGAACAGTAGCAGGCTGGTTCAGGGGAGGGACCCTGAGTCCAGCCCCACCAGGCTCTGATCTCCATCCCCCTGTCCCTCACCTTCTCTTTGCTGCTGGGACAGGGCTGAAGGCTGCTGGGGAAAAGCTGTGCTCACTGGGGCATAGGCCGACGGATAGGCTGCTGGAGACAGAGGTGGGAGTGGCCAGTGATCCCCAGGAGCCATCGCCCAAGCAGGGCCCCATCTCCCTGACCACCTATGACCAATTCAGCCCAGGCCACGGTAACCCTCACCCCTAGAGAAGTCGTTCTGGGCCCAGGGTTTGGGGGATGGGAGGGTCGACTCCTCAGAGCAGAGCCTAAACCCCCCCACAAATCTCTCTATTCCTTTCTGGGGCCCTTCAAACCCCCCAGGCCGCGTAGCGCCAAGTGAAACCTGCGTAGTGGTGCATCCCAGCGTAGGCCTGCTGCAGGGGGTCAGCCACGCCGGGGCTCTGGGCTGGGGAGAGAGGGGCGCGAGGCCCACGGTGAAGGCGGGCGGGCAGGGTCGGTGAGAGGCTCAGGGAGTGTGGGAGGTGGAGGGAGGCTGTGAGAGGCAGCAGGGAACGAGGAGTGCCTTCCCGGGGAGGCCGGTTCCCCCTTCCCCCCCGCTCCCCACTCCATTTCGGGGAGGTTTGAGGGGAGCGGGGGGCCCACCTGGGTAAGGGGAGAGCCCGTTATTGTAGAGAGTGTCGGAGCCCGGCTGCCCGTTGGTCTGGGGGGTCAGGGGGCCGAATCCGTTGACCCCGATGGGCGCCGGCAGACCAGGAAGCGTGCCAGGGCCGCCGCCCGGAGGGGAGCTGGCTGCTGGCGGCGAAGGTCGGAGAGTCAGGCCGCAGCCGCGCGCGGCGCCCCCCGCCCGGCCCCCCCCCCCCCCCCCCGCCCCCCCCGCCCGGCCCCCGCCCCAGCGCGCAGTACCTGCCGCGGGCAACAGCGGCGCGGCCACCAGGCTGAAGGCCGCCACGTGCTGCATCTGTGCCGCCACTGCGGCCACCGGGCCTAGGCCCGGGCCCTGTGCCGCCGCCAGCAGGGCCGCCTGGTGCTGCAGGATCTTTGAGAGGGAAGAAGGGCGGGTGTGGCGGGCCCAGCGGCCGGCAGCTGCCCCGCCTCCGACCCCCGGCCTGGACCCCCGCCCGCCGGGGCCGGGCACCTACCGCCGTGGTGTAGGCTCCGCAGGCCCCCAGCGGCAGCGGCGCCGGGTGGAAGGCGCCCAGCTGGCCCGCCATCTGCTGCATCCGCCGCAGCGCGCGTTCCCGGTCCGTGTCCGCCAGCTTGACCACGAGGCTGGACGAGGCGCCCTGGGTAGGGCAGGGGGGCCCGCGGTGAATGCTCCAGGCCCCAGCCCTGGCCCTGGGCCGAGCGCCTTGCCCATCAGGCCTTTTCCTGGGGCACAGATTGCATTTCTGGAGGAGGAGCCCGTCCCCACCCCGCTGCCCTCACCCTCGGCCCCGGCGCCCGCCCTCACCGCCATGGTCCGACTGCCGTGCAGACTCTGGATGGCCGCCTGAGCTTCCCCCTGACTCCCAAACTTCACAAAGGCACAGCCTGGGGCAGGATAGAGGGATTGGGTGGCTCAGGCCACAGGGGCCAAAGGGTCATGAGGCCCTTTGAGAATGAGACAGGGTGACCAGGAAATCCCAGGGTCAGCTCAAGTCACCTTTACTGGTGCCATCCGGGCTCCGCAAGACGGTGCACTCCTCGATATGGCCGAAGGGCTGGAACAGGCGTCTGACGTCCTCCTCACCCTGCTGCTTCCCCAGCATCCCCACAAACAGCTTTCGGTCCTCTGGGGACAAATCCAGGAGTGACCTGGGGACCCTAAGTCCTCTTGGACTCCCCAGAGTAGGGGGAGGAACTCAGGAAGGTAGCTCACCAATGTCTAGTTCTGGAGAAGAGTGTAGGGAATGAGAAGGGCCTGGGTCTACAAAGTTTTGTTTCTTTGAGGGGCAGGATGAGGTACAGACAGATCTGAAGGAAAGGAACTCAACCCAGATTCCCATCAGGAAAACCTGGGTCCAGGAAAAACCCAGAAAGACTTATTGCTGCTCTTGTGAAAAGTGATTCAGTCCATATCTTCCGTTGGGTAGAGCCCTATATGCATCTTTTATGTGTTTGACCTTTCTGTTCCTAGAGTTTGGGAAAGGCTATTTTGGACTGTTTCAGCCCTACAAACAGAGGGAGTCCTCAGAGAATGCCTTTGTATTCAGACTAAGTCTAGAGAAGATCAGTACACCCTTGCTGGTCAGCCTGATGGCATTGGCTAGAACCAATGCCCCCTCTTGCTCAAGTCAAGGAGGGTTCTAGGTCAAAAAACAGGAGAGAAAACAACTGTCTCGTCATATGGCCTCATTCCCAGACACTGAACACTGGAGTGATGAATCCCCATGCCTAGCACAAACTCAACCTGGGTGGCCTCCCAAAGGCCTAAAGAAGGCAGGAAACTTGGGTTCCTGAGCCTCCAGCGTTAGCCTTTTCCCCACTACACTTTCCCCACTACACAATGTAATATACACTACACTACACTGAACCCCTGACCCCTTTCCTTAACTCCCACCTCCACCACCTCATTCCCTCAGTGAGCTTCCAGGGCCCTCCCTGAGCCCTGCTGCCTCCTTTCTGACTTCCCCTGTTCTCCTACCCTGATCCATCTTCAAGTGTTCACGCTGTGGGAGAACAAGTTCTGCCCATAGACCTGTAGACCTGGATAGCCATCTAAGAACAAGTCTGATCCCTTCCTGTGTCCACCCTTCCTCTGGGAGTGGCAGCAATGCCAGGAAAAGGGCTGCGAGCTAGGCATGTGTCCCTTGGAGAAGGCTGGAGAGCTGGGGCTGGAAACCAGGGCTTAGCTGCACATCGGACAAGTCAGGCCTCAGGAGCACTATGCAGAAGCCTGCGGTAGAAGGGCCCAACCTACACAGCCTGCTGTCAAAGCCCCGCTCCTTTCTGCACCAGGGTAAGTCTCTGAATTCAGGATGGGGCTTCATCCCTGCGATACAAGTTGGGAAAGAAGGAGTGAGTAGGAATCTGGCTTCAGGCTTCACCTTCGAGATCCTGGAGCCCAAGAAAACCCATCCTAAACTCCTTTACTCCTTGATAAGCTTGGCTAGGCCAATGGGGGTCCTTGGATCCTGAGTGCAAGGGAGACAAGGCTGGTGAGGGTCATAGATTGAAGCCTGGGTGACATTGAAAAGGAAGAACAGAAGTTAGCAGTGGAGGGAGTCTTCAGCAAGGCTAGGTGTTTGTGCATATTTCACCTGAATAGTGTGGGGTTCAGCCTAGGCTGCCCTGGGTACCCTGAGGTGTCTATCTGTCAATGCTGTGTCTCTGTGGAGGGCGGGGGCTGCGGTTTATATGGGACAGGCAGTGTGTTTCAGCAGAATCCTGCCCTCTGTCCAGAGGACTACTGCCCAGCAATCCTGAAGAGGAAGGGATGGATAATATACTTGTGGCCGGAATTCTAGAGGAGGTACTGATCTCTGTGGTGAGGGTAAAATCTGGTGGATGCGCTTCATTTCTAGGAGTGTTAGCCACAGAATAGTGCCCTTGGAACAGATCACTGGTTTCCTAACCTTTTTAAAAAGCTGTGGGAATCATTTTTCTAACAAAAATATTAGGATGAAGCTCAAAATATAACATAAAGGCAGAACTTCTCTGACTGAAGCCAGAAAAGTGGGGGTGGAGGGGGTGCTGGAGTTCCTCCTGCTTCATCTTCCCCTAGTACCCCCTAGAGGAGGCTCCAAAGAAAGTCCAGTGAAAACCACTGACCTAAAAGACAGAGAATACAGTTCCAGATGGTGTATGAAGAGAGATCTGAGATCATCCTGTTCGGGAACCCGAGAAGACAAGAAAGGTCTTTCATGAATTTCATGACCAGTCTGATGTTAGTGGCTTTGCCTTGACATTGGAGGACAGGCCCCATTTGGTCAGGGAATCAAATTCTAGAAGACTATGTCATTGTTCTCAGCTATGACACTAAAGTATGCTCATGTGGCTGCAGAAGGCCCAAGAGGGGCTAGAGAAGATCCTGGGGTCTCCAGAGTCCCAAAGCTTAAAGGGGGCTTCATGATTCCCTAATTTATAGTGCAGCTGCGTCATTGAGTAGGGTCTGCAAGATGGTGATGGCACCTAGGTAAGATGTCATGCCACATGGACCAGCATCCAGGTAGCCCTAGGTAGGAAGAGAGATATTAAGGCTGAGGTGGAGCCCCCAGGACTGGAAAGAGGTTTGTGGGACAGGACAGCGGTGTGATCCTTCATCTGCTCTTCCTCTTGTTGCTCTTTTCTGCTGATGGTTGTCAGTTCAAGCTCATATCACAGACCACGAAATTCTCTGATTCTTCTTTTCCAGTGAGAGTCTCATGAGTTAAGAATTTCAATTTCCATGACAGGGCACTGACCCTATGGTTCTGGACTACTGGGCTGTGCAGAATTTGAAATTGAAATGAGGCTGAGCTGTAGGCTGGGATCTGTGCTGCCCATTTCACAGATATCACCTTGAATCCTGGTATCCTCTTTGCCTTATGGTGTTGGACAGGAGGATGGTCTGGGTCACAGTGACCATAAGCCTCAGGTGATCTCAGAATGGTGGGATAAGTTTCTTAAGAGACCTGGTCAAAGAGAAGTACAGGCTAGACCCCTGAGGTAACCCTTAAATCCACAGCCCTCAAGATTCTGAGGGCTGATCAATGCCCCCAGAGAGAGATGAAGATGGGATTTAGCCCAGAAAATTCAATTTCCTCTAGATCAAACTCTACCAGTTTGGTAAAAAGAGGGTTCTGTAAGAGGTAGGTCAGAAATGTCTGAATAAAAGCATCCCATGGGTTGTAGGTGGGTCCCTAGAAAGATGGGAATATCAGTTACAGAGGCTTAACCTTCCTGAAGTGGAAGGAATTGGAAGATAGTATCAGGGTGGAGTTGAGACATAGTTGTAAAGACACACAGTTGAATGGTATAACTGCATTTTCCTGTTGGCAACCAGTGTGTACTCCTTGTTCTTCTACTGAATGCTTTTTGAACCCAAACCAAGTTGTTTGGGCCCAAGAGGCCCATCTCCATGAAGTTGGTCATACAGGCGGTCATACAGGTCAGGGATTCTAATGCAGCAAATGATGAGAGCCCAGAGTCAGAGTCAGTCCACTCCATCTTCCTCAGGAATGGCACGAAGATGCTATTCAAGAAAGGAGGCTCTGCTGTAAGTTGGACCAAAGGAATTCCAGAGGTGTCCAAGTTTCTGCCTTCTATGCCCCTCACACCCATTCACCTCGATTTTGGTGGGATGTCATGATTGTAGGGACAGTGTAGGGGCAAGGTTTCAGCATTGGGGTACCAACCACCAAACACATCCTCAAAATATCAGTCCACCTTTCAGTCCAAATACCAACCCAGGAGGTCCTGCTGGTGGCAGCATTTGGAGCAAAGCATCTCTCCCCTGATGTTCTTGGCGATGGCTGCAGCATAAGGAGCCAAGGAAGATTGGGAACATGAGTGAAGGAAATATCCAGGCAAACAGAGTCTCCTGGCCAGATCTGATGAGCATCAAGAAGGGCTTTAATTCCACACAAAAAAACCCTGTTAGAACTAATAAACAAATTCAGCAAAGTTGCAGAATACAAAATCAACCAAAAAAAGTCAGTTGTGTTTCTATACACTAGCAATGAACAAGCTGAAAAGGAAATTAAGAAAATAATTCCACTTATAAAGCATCAAAAAGAATAAAATACTTAGGAATAAACTTAACCAAGGAGGCCAAAGACTTGTACCCTGACAACTACAAAACATTGCTGAAAGAAATTAAAGAAGACACAAATAAGTGGAAGATATCCCATGTTCATGGATTGAAAGACTTAATATTGTTAGATGTCAATACTATTCAAAGTGATCTACAGATTTAATGCAATCCCTATCAAAATCCCAATGGCATTTTTTGCAGAAAAAGAAAAATCCATTCTAAAATGGAATCTCACGGGCCGGCCCCATGGCGCAAGCGGTTAAGTGCACATGCTCTGCTGCGGCGGCCCGGCATCCACTGGTTCAGACCCCAGGTGTGCACCGATGCACCGCTTGTTAAGCCATGCTGTGGCGGTGTCCCATATAAAGTAGAGGAAGATGGGCACAGATGTTAGCCCAGGGCCAGTCTTCCTCAGCAAAAAAGAGGAGGATTGGCATTGGATGTTAGCTCAGGGCTGGTCTTCCTCACAAAAAATAAATACATAAATAAAAACAAAAATAAAAATAAAAAATAAAATAGAGATGCAAAAATTAAAAAAAAAATAATAAAAATAAAATAAAATGGAATCTTAAGAGACCCTGAATAGCCAAAACAGTCTTGAAAAAGAAGAAAGTTGGGGGTCTCACACTTCTTGATTTCAAAACTTATTACAGAACTACAGTAATCAAACAGTGTGATACTGGCATAAAGACAGACATACAGACCAGTGGAGTAGAATAGAGAACCTAGAAATAAGTCCTCATATATATGGTCAAATGATTTTCAACAAGAGTGCCAGTCTTTTCGACAAATGGTGCTGAGAAAACTGGATATCTACATGCAAAAAATGAAGTGGGACACTTACCTTACACCATATATAAAAATTAACTGAAAATGGATCAAAGACCTAAACATAAGTGCTATAACTATAAAACTCTTAGAAGAAAACAACAGGGCAAAGGTTCATGACCTTGCATTTGGCAATGATTTCTTGGCTATGACACCAAAAGCACAGGCAACAAAAGAAAAATAAATTGGACTACATCAAAATTAAAAATTTCTGTGCATCAAAGGACACA